TGGAACGACATATAGAGGATACATCGCCCTGTGACCCTCCACAGCGCAGTCAGCCGGCGGCCCGAGAGGGTCCCAGTGTCGTCTGCTCTACTGGCGTCTGTTCTACTGGCGTCTGTCGTCTGCTACACTCGCGTTGCTGGGGCCCGCCGTGAGGCCAGGTCTGGGCGGGAAACTTTGCTCCACCACGTGGTCGGGGAGACTTCCACGTCTGCCAGGAGGTGACCTACGGACGGACGGATGGACGGATAGACAGATGGATGGACAGATAGATGGACGGGGGGAGAGATAGATGGACGGACAGATAGGCAGGCAGACTGACGGACGGACGGACGGGCAAAGGTAACAGACTGACGGAGGGACAGATAGACAGACAGACAGGGGAGAGTCAGACAGACATAAGAGACAGACAGATGGACATATGGAATAGAAGGAAGGTAGCGACAGGAAGATGGAAAGACAAGGAAGAGACAGACAAGCAGCAGACAGACAGACAGACAGACACACACACACACAGACAGACACACACACAGACACACAGACAGACACACATACAGAGCAGACAGACACAGACAGACGGACAAGTCGCAAACATACGGTTAGAAAAGACAGACAGATGGACGGACAAGAAAGACACACATACGGTTAGAAAAGACAGACAGATGGACGGAAAAGGAAGACACACAGACAGAGCAGACAGACACACAGACGGACACACAGACAGACAGACACACAGACAGACAGACAGACAGATGGACACACGTGGTGAGCACCCTCCGACCTATCTTCACCAGAGTCTTCCCAGCTGACCGGTAGGTGAACAACCATTTTTTTTTTCCATCTAGAAATTCTTTGTTGCTTGTTGAAGTTGTTGTTTTGTTGGGTTTTCTTCTTCTTTTTTCTTCTTCTTTTTGTTTATTTCTTCTAGTTTTTATTTATTAGAGTTTTGGCAAACACCCACGCGCGCACACACACACACACGCGCACACACACACACGCGCACACACACACACGCGCACACACACGCGCACACACACAATATATATTGTGAGGCATCGTGGTGAAATCAGGCGCTCGTCAAAATAATGAATTCGAAGAACCAGGCATTCTTTCACCAGTTTGGCACATTTTTTGTTCAAATTGTTATTTTTAAGCTCAGCTCCCTTTATGTCTATATTATAAAAACACATTTGCTTGTGAATTTTACTGAAGTTTTTTTGTGGTTTTTTTTATTAATGGCACAAAATATGTAGATTTTCAGTTTTCAAATACTTTCAAGCTGTAGAAGTTACAAAACTTTGGAGGCATTTTTCTTGAAAAATGTTACCTTTCAAACCGTGCTACCCTCACCTCCTTAAGGGT